TTTAATCATCAACTATATATTTATGAAAACTTTACACACCAATAAAAAATTAATTTATATAAATAAAGATTACTGTAACTTTTTCTTTTAAAGTAAATTAGTTAATATTCAAAGCAATTACTAAAACTTATTGTTCTAAGTATATATTAATAAAAATAGTTAAATTTTCCTTTTTTTTTCTTTTCTTATTTGGAGTAGATATCCCTGTACATATTTAGTAGTAAGATTTTCATTGGACATGTATTTTAAACTTAAATAAATTTCTTATAAACAAAAATAAATTAAAGGAAATAATATTTTTTATTATTAAAAGTGAATATTTTATTTTACTGTGTACAAATAGATAAAAATATATAACACTTTTAACATTAATAAAGAAATTTTGAAAATTGATTATTTAAAATAAAACATATAATTTTATTGATATAGTGTGTCAGAATTGAAGATGTAAAAAGAAATTTAAAATAGAATTACTTAAATTACTATAAAATTTAAATTAAATTTATCATAAGAGAAAAACGTTTTAATATGACAATGCACTGATATTCAAAATTAAACTTAAAATCAAGTTATATATAAATAATATTTTTTAGAAGAAAAAAATATTCAAATACAAACATCACACAATTTAGTGAGGAAATAAACAAATGCTTAAAATATTATATTATTGCTGATCAGAACTAAAATATAAAATATTTTAATGCCCACTGAATTATATGGTCCCGGCGGGGCTCGAACCCGCGACCTTCGGCTCATAAGACCAACGCTCTAACCAACTGAGCTACGGGACCTCAACGTTAATGTGTAACACTTGTTTTCATGAAATAGTTTTGCATCTTTGTTTCAAAATGGCTAGGACGGCAACACGGTGAGACTGTACATATTTCAATATCTTTGTTTTTATCTGAGTTGATATTATATTTATTGAGTTAATCTATATATTATTAGTGTGAAATTTTTTTATACTGAAATTAATTATATTTTTTAATTGTGTCATGCTATTATAAATACATTATTTTTAAAATATATAATTAATTGTTAGTATAAAAAAATTTTATACCGATAATTAACTCATATTTATTTGTGTTATTATGTTTGTATTAAATTTGTATTTTATATTGTATATACATATATCTATTGAATATACTATCGTATACTCTATCTGTATTGAGGATATTTTGTGTGTGAGGAAGAAAAAATATGGTATTCTCGTCTTATATTATTTTATCTTATTTTAACTTTTTTTTTTTAAATCAAACAAAATATTAGTAACATTTTTTTGCCGCTTTCTCTTTTTGTGTCTTAAAATAAAGAGTTAGCAACCTGTATTTGTCTTTTCTTTTTTTATTAAACTGAATAAAGGGATAGTATTTTGTAACTTGTATTTTGAAAAATATGTGCACCTGCTCATTGTTGTTTGACATTTTAATTGTGAAAGATAGGTGAAATGAAGTTATTGAGAGAGAAACTATAATGAAATTTGTTTATGAATTGGTTAATAATAAAATATTATTTTAGTATATCACATGTCTTTAATATTTGTATATATAAAAGATAGAATTTGAGATATTAAAAAGACATGAAAAAAAATGCTTATTAGTTTAATTATTTTTTATAAGAACTTATGTTAAAAATTAATTGTCTAAAATTAATGTGAAATATGTGTACTTACTTAAATAAATAAAATATATTACATACATCAAAGATTATAATTATAACAATTATTATACTAAATAGTGTAGAAAAAAATGATTTTCTTTCGTATAAGAAAATATAGATCATAATTGTTTATTATTATTTGATTTTTTAAGAGGTGGGATATTTTTTCCCTCAAACTTACTAATACATTAAATTATTATTTCATCAATTTCTTAATTTATTATTAATATTTTCTAAATATAATATTAAGATAAGTATAAGATAATTATAATTAATAATGTTTACATGGAAGCTTGTTTAAATTTGGATATAAAAAAGATGAAAATTGTTTCATCCCACGTCAAAAGTACTTTGATTATTTTTGCCACATGAAATGTCCATGATATGTAGGGATAAATAGAGATGTTAAAATGAGGCAATATTCGATGGGTCAATCCATCTCATCATGGGTCTGGGTTAAGCTGGGTTAGGGGAAAAAAATTATATCAATTTTAGCTAAATTCTAACCTGGTTCACTTAATTCGTGAGTTAAACGAGTTCAAGCCTAAGTGAGTCGAGTTTATTTGTTTAACCTATTATTAGAAAAATTATATATATATATATATATATAATTAAAG